ACTTTTACCATTTGGGCAACATAGAGAATTGTACTATACACCGCGGGAAGATTCATGCAGTAACATGGCGTTGGGAACTTACCAAACTGGTCATCCGAAAGAGATGGGGGTAATTCTAGGCTCAATAGCAAGCCTCACTATCGCAATCTTTAAGGCCTAGTGAGAACAAGAAAAGAAAAGAAGGATGAAGGAGGTCTGCAGATATGGAATAGTTCATTTGCTGCTAACATTGCAAGGGAGCTAGGCTCCATCCACACGCTCACTAGTCGCTGGCGGAGCCTTCTCCAGACTGAAGAGCTGGGAAAGCCAAGGCTAGAAAAAGGAAAAGGAGCGCACACGAACAGATTGAGGGGATGGTTCATGTGCCTATTTGGTATTGGGGGGCCCTCGAAGGTGTGAGTGGCGCCTTTACTCGAGACACCGGCGCCTTAGTTATTTCAATTGACAACTCTGAGACGCCGACCCAACACGGCCCGTAACCGTGGCTTGCCTGTGATAGCGTCCTCTAGTGGCATAAGCAGCAGCGTAATACCATAATACCAACCCATTGGTTCGATCGATGGGAGGGAGATACATCCCTACGAGGCAGCAAGATGTTTACCAATGGGCCACCGGGGGAACCCAATTCGGTGGCACGACTGGAGGCAGCCAATACATGTGTACGATCTCATCTGGAAATGGCTATGGCTCCCATGCTGGTCACGTACTCGACGTGTGAAAAGTGCCAGCAGCGACATCTTATGGGTGACCATTTGCAGGCGTAGTGACCACGCTAAGAGAGCCAGTCTCGTGGATGACCAGGGCATTGCAAATAGTCGATGGAGTTTCTCGCATGGCGCATGTTCCGGACCAGATCTTTGGGCTCTCGATCCTCAGGTGAGAGCTCCTTCAAGCCCTGGCAGGCCTAATTTTGTGGTCCAGGATGGGAGAGATTCGCTGTCTGCCCACCGAACGACCGACCGACCGGTTCTGATATGGCTAGACGACCCCATTAAGGCCTCCACTTGTCCCCATTCCCTACGTGCCACCATGGGTGGTGCTTCCTCTGCCAATCTATTCACGGGTGTGATTCCGGATGTGGGCCATTTAAGCTTGCCGCACCGGTCACACTCTGATGAACAAGGAGAGCACAATGCACAATTCCCCTCTCTTAATAATTGTGCGCCCTGAGAACAATTGCAGGTCAACCTGCTGAGGTGGGGGCGGCCACATGGACGGACGGGCATTATTCGAACAATGCCCGTTCTTCATTATGTCGTAGGTGAGAATCCACCCCAGCTAATTAAGCCGGTAGGTCCAGGGAGATTGCTGACGGGGATTGTTAGGCGATTGCCGTAGACATCTGCCAGGTATTTGTTGCGCACCCGGTTGACAGGTCAGCCCGAGGGATATTCGATCATTTAGCTTCGGTGTCCCCTTGTCACAGGACACGATGTTATCTAGCATTGCTCTGGATACTGTCCATTTCCCGGCCATGCAGAGGTAAGGGGATACGTAGCAGACAATGCACAACACTGCCATTTTTACGGGGTAGAGCATGGAAATACAAATTGGCTGGCCAGGGTTCTTAGCATGAACCTTATGCATGTACTGCAGATTTGCGGCTAGGGCATGATCGACCTTCGTTTTGGGTGAGGTGAGTTGACGGTCCTGAGATATTTGACTGCGAGAATTCATGCCGCCTCGCTGCAGCATTATGGAGCTATGTCCCAGGCGTAATCAACCAGATCATTAATATGAGCTCACTGCACTGTTAGCAGTGCCAGGAGGGAGGAGAAAAGAGAGATCCTAGGTGTCCTGAGCTAGCTGCTCGCCCGTGTGCACAGACACCTCCAACCCATGTTGACACAGGAGCAATCCATGGGGGATTACGTAGTGACTAGAGCAAGGCGAGTCTTGACACAGGGGGATTGGGAACACTTGCCCTATCTGCTGGTAGATGTGCTGTGCTTGACCTTGAAGGTCGAGAAAGTGCCTGGGCCAGGACTGAAGGTGCAACCTAGAGACTGTTGGGTATTTGCCCAGGGGATAGACCATCAACACGTGTTGTGTGCCAAGCATGCTGGTAAACTGGTGGAAACCGTGGTCCATCTCATCTTAGAAATGTATATCTCTGCAGGCCGGCCTTTTCATCACAGTGCCATAACGGCCGGCACGTTATGACCGGTTTGCATTGTGACGGCATGAATGATAGGATGGAGACTTTCCACATCGGTGTTTCTAATGTGTGACTGTCTTGCATCCCGGGGTGCATATGCAGCAGGCTCAACAGTAGGCGCCTGCAACTTGGCGGCATTTTGTGTCAGGGTTGTCTGGTTATCCATTCACAATAGGCACAGCACTTTTTTTTTTTCTGCCCGTCGGCTCCGTGGTCGCAGTATGGTCGAATGTAAACATGACATGTCATTTAACTGGGCATGCCTGCCACCATCTACATTACAAAATTAGCATGGCGCCTCTGGTTTGAAAAAGTTCCGCAACAACTCAACGCGCAAGAAAAAGAAAAAAAGACAAGACATACATGAAAGTAAAACGATGGTTCTCGCCACCGGCAGCCTAACCTCGATTGTTGAACATGAAACTGCCTACGACAGCCACTGACATCGACAGCCAAGTCCCCCGCGCCTCGCGCCAGCAGCTATGCCGTGGGACAGATGAAGACGGCCGTACCATCGAACTGATTCGTATTAGTGACTGGAGGTTGTGACCAAGATGGAAATTGCAGGCTCCAGGGTTGGAGAGGTGGACCTCATCCTATTCGACGGAGAGCTTCTCCCCCGGCTTAGCGCTCTCTGCCAAATTCGCCCCCACTTGTAGCGAGCTGGGATCTTGCCTCCTTGGGCAGGACTGTTCTGTTGGGAAATGCCCAAGCTCGGTGCCCAAGCTCGGACGGTTGGCCGTCCTCGGGTAGTTGGTGGTGGGTTGCCAACGGGTAATCAGTGTGAACGCCTCTGTCACCCTCACCAGCTCCCCGGTCCTTGCCATAACTCGTGAGTCGAGGGTTCGTCGACTACCCCTGCCAAGGGTCTATTCGTGAAAGCTTGGGCTGTACCGCAAGGATGCTTTCATATCCACCAACAGTTCAGCCGTGTGTAGGTGTGTGTGTATGTGTGCTGTGTGATTGCGTATCGTTATTTGAGACAGGCTGTGACCGGCGGTTTTACTTGCAGGAAGGTGCGTTGCTCGATGTGAAGAAGGTGCAGACTGAGATGAGGCAATGTCCAGCAAGGAAGGCGCTGCACTGGCCGTTGCCCGCTGCTACCTGCCTGACCAACCGTTGAGGCCTGGGAGATACGGCGTGCCTCTCGTTGCCGCATGATAACACTGGTTGGGTGTGGCTTCCTCGTCACTTCCGTGCCATTTTGTCTAGCCAGGGAGTCGCCTGCTGATCGCCCCTTTGTTGGTCTTGGTGTTGGTGGGTGACGGGCAGGCATTGCTCAATTTACCTCGCCAACACCGTACCGTCATCCCAATCCTCGCCATCAGCAGTATGGTTCATGGATGCAGCTAAGGAAAAAGCAAAGCGAGGGAACAGGAGCCTACCACGACTCCCATCCCACGCCCACGCCCGCGGCACCCAGGCACTTGGTCTGATTTGCACATCACCCAAGCCCTTGCTATGCAGGATTAATTTAGGACACCACTGAGAGCCCAAATCCCAGCAGGCGTTCAATGAGGTGGAGCAGCTCAGCTAGGTACCGAGCTCTCTCCTCTCAGCCAGGGGACCAGGGCCTCATGTCGCCGCTCGCTCTCCACCACGAGAGCTGCTAGCTGTTGATCCATCCGGCCATCCACCAGGACTGGACCCTCGTCATTTGCTTGCTCCCTTTAGAGACGAACCGGCTGGCCTGGCTCTCCGCAATCTTCTCTTTCTCTCCCCCTCTTGTCCAACTAGATGATATGCCAGGGACGGGCGCTGGTACACTTTCATTGCTTCTCGTCGTTTTCCTTACATACGTGATTGTCGTCATTTCTCTTCTTTTTGTGCCGTCTTGCGACTTTGGACCAGCGTCGTTGTCTGCCCCTGGCTTTTCGCACCCGCAAGCACTTACATGATCAACGCGCCCGGAGCCTTACCCTTTTCCCTTTCGCTCGCGCATTTCCTACTGTAGGTCACGTCCCTTAGTTTGCCTTCTGGGTGTTCAATTGGGCTCGGGTCCTTGCGATTTGATCATTAATTCATGGCATCACGCGCTGTCGCAAACAACTCTCCCCTTGCGCTGGCATTGACTTATTCATCTGCAGGTCTCAGCTGTCTCGATTCCTCGAGCGGCCAAACTCGACCGATCGACATCAACACCATCTCTTTAGCGTTTCGATTCCTTGCCTGTCAATGAAACAGTAGACCGTTATCTACTTCAACTTTATTATCGATCTAGAAGAATTCTCTACACAGATCTATACACTTACACTCGGCCGCATCCCCTTTCGTACGACATTGTCATCATACCACAGGCATTTTGGGTGGTCAGGAAGGAAATGGACTCTTAAAATCGAAACGGGCTACTGTCGACAACTCCAGCCCCGTCAGTATTTCTTTTGACGACACTGCATTGTCTCGGGTTGAATATTTGAGGCTGCCTGGCGGCTGGTTCGTTTGGCGAAACATACATCAGTGTTCCACTCTTCATATTTTTGTGCCTCTTGCTTTACCCCAGCGAGGTAAGTCTCCTTTCTGACCTTGCACACGCTCGGCTGTTTTCTTCTTCTTCTTCTGTCCAATTGCTTGTAATATTTGATCATTTTGCTAGCGTTTGTTTTCATTCTGAGCTGACATTCGGACAGTTCGTTTGTACCTTTGTCCTTTCACTTCATATCTCGGCAATAGGAGAGTGGGATCCTGGCGTATGCACCGGGATTCACGAAGAGTATCTTATTAATTCGGCATTTTCGGAAGACAAGAGACAGCGAGACTTGCCCATATCCATGTTCACCGTTTGAAAACGCTATTTGGTTGGCGTTGCTTACGCCAGTCATATTGATCACGAAACGCAGTGATCATGACAGACCGACATCTTGACGACGACTACCTCAGTGGTCCCGCAGGTACCTCGCTGCCAACCCCCCAAGATACACCTTATCGGACCCCTTCACGAACCTCGAAAATGTCGAAGCGCTCCGGCACTCCCTCGGCGCGAGGCGAATCCCCTGCCTCCTTACCGGGTGATCGCAAGGATAGAAGTTCGAAGCGGCTCTCGAAAGACATCACGACTGACGAGACGATTAGTATCCTCGACCCAAGGAGGTTCACACCAACGTTGCATGCGAATCTTGTCTCGGAAATTCTTGCCTTGCGGAGAGATCAAGATGAAAAGCTTCGGGTTATTGAGAGCCTTGAGAGCACATTGACGTCGACCAAGGAAGAACAGCAGTCTTATCAAGAAAAGTTTACCACATCTTCAAAGGAGAATCGTTCTCTCAAAAGGCAGCTGGCATTGTTAGAGGGAGGCACTTCCTCAGCACTGGGCGAACTTGCGCGAGAGAGGGACGAAGCTGTGGAAACAATGAGCGATGTTAAAAAACGGTTGGAAACGGCCCAGAAAAAGATCCGAACCCAAGAGGCGGACTCGGAGCGAGTGCACGAGCTTTGGGCACAGGAAAAGGATGCTTGGGAGGACGAGCGTCGCAAGTTTGAACGCAAGGTCCATGTGGCTGAGAGCCGCCTGAAAACGGTGCTTGAAGAGGTGGCTGCGTTCCAAAATGCCCAATTGAATGGCGAGGCGAGCGAGGCTGCCAACGAGAGTGATACCGAGAGCGGAAAAGAGAATGATGCTTTCAGTGTGAGGTCGATGAGCATGTCCAATACCAACCGGTTTTCGACGGGCATCAAGCTCAACGGCAATTCGCTCGCAGACGAGCTTCATTTCGATGATGAGACCGACGACCAGACAGACTACGATGGTCGGGAAAGCGCATTGTCCCATCGAACAAGCCATTATCATACTCGAAATATGAGCCGCGACAGTTTCAGGTCGAAAATGCACTATCGAAATCAAAGCCTTGAAAACTTGAAACGGTCTGGGAGTGTCGCACGCAGCAGGCTTTTTGTGAACAAGTCCGTGCTAGAGACTCTTGAGGGTGAGATGGAGGAAGAACCAAAGCCTACAGTTGCGTATACTGATACAGGTGTTCAATACTCTCCTCCACCTTCGCCAAAAATGTCACCTGTCAAGCCAGCCACTCCTGAGCCTGTGCTACAGAAGCTAAAGACTAATGAACTGGAATCGTCGCCACGAGGGGACTCGGAAGTTGAGGCGAACCAGAGGAAGAAGAGAGTTCAAATCACTCCTCCGTTGGTCGTGGAAACACCACCAGTTCGAATTGTGATGGTGTCATCTGCCTCACAAACCGTTGAAGAACCGCTGAGCCCACCGCGGACGCCTACAATCCGACCTGAGACCCCACCTCCTGTGAAGGAGCAGGTCGCTGTACTCATGGTCACTTCATCGACGCAAACGGAGCGGCTGCCACCAAGCCCCCGCGAATATGTCCCTCCACCCCCTCTGACACCTCCGCCCCCTGTGCCGAGCATAAGCATCCAGCCGCCAACGAGCCGGCCAACAACTCCACGAGAGCCTCGTTTGCCCCCCCACTTCAAGAACTTTGGATGCCAAGTGAACTTGAACGCACAGTATATGTCCAGTGAGGCTTCGGTTCAGACGGAAGGAATTCAAGTGGATAAGCGGATCGCCCTCCTCCCACACCATCTTCAACCATCTTCAATCTCCTCGAGGCCGACGTCACCCAATCCCTCCCCACCTGTCGACCCTGACAGCGTATTCACACCGGTCCCAGGAAACGTTCCACCACGGAATCCTAGGAGGCTGGCAGATAGGCCCGGTGTTCAGACCCCTTCCTCTCCACTGGCTTCGCCTATCGAGAAGGATGAGATCGGTGATGCCTACCCCGGGAACAATGATGATGGGCCGCTCTCAAGCCAGAAGCAGGCGCCTGTCAAACGTCCTCACCGATTTAGCAGCTTGTTTGCTGGATTCGATACAGCTAGCTCTGACGAGGGCGAGTTGTTCGACAAGGATGATCTGAGCGATTCAGAATACAGGACAGCATTATCAGCTCCACGCCCTCAATCCACGTCTACCACTCGGAACAGTCAACTGAGCCCACCTGGAACCGCCCCTCCATCGCCGGATCTGTTGTCAAGGAGACAGAGCGGAAGAAGCTCCGTTAAACCTTTCGGTACTGAGGTATACAGCTCTTTCAGTCTCGCCGAGAAGGACGGGAACAGTGGGATGACGGGTAAAAACCCCGTGAGACGGCATGAAAGGTCTGCCGGGTCAATCTCACGTGGTCCTGGAAATCGCGCCAGCGTCATGCGTAAAGCTGCCATGATCCAGAGCGGGATTGCCAGCCATAGCGGCCGAGCAAGGAGCCCTAGCATCCCTGAAGTCACAAACCCTCCTTTCCCTATCCCTAAACGTGAAAGTTCACGAAAGCCTTATCCTAGTATGAGCGCACCCACTAGCGATGGGCAGAGAAGCCCAACTAGGGTAGGATCTTTCCAACGACGAGGTGGTGGTCGTGGCGTAGTCCGAAATAATAGCTTGCGAAAGGTGCGATCAGCCACAGCCATCGTCCGAAACCAACGCGCACGCAGGACTGGTAGCCGGTCTCCTCCGCCGTTGTCCCCTTCGACTGAAGCTCCCGAGAGTCCGGGTCTCCCGCCACTACCTCGAAACGACATAACAACACCCCGCCTACGACAACGAGGGAATAGCCACTATCGAAGACACGCTCATAAGCCCTCTACCAACACAGAGAAAACAAGCAATACTGAGCCGGCCTCAATTGAAAGCACCAACCAAAGCACAAGTGTTGTTGATGCTATTGCTCAAACCATGATTGGCGAGTGGATGCTCAAGTATGTTCGAAGACGAAAATCCTTTACTGTCGCCGAGCACACTGTAAAAGATGATGCCGGGAATGATCGCCATAAGCGATGGGTTTGGCTGGCACCATATGAGCGGGCCATCCTCTGGAGCAGCAAGCAGCCTTCTTCAGGCAGTGCGCTCATGGGCAAGACAGGGAGGAAATGTGAGTGAAACTCTTGATGAAACTCTTGAAAGTGGCCATTGTCTTTTGTGCCCTTAGCTAACATTCTTGTAGTGACGATCCAGTCAGTGCTGGATGTAAAGGATGACAATCCTCCCCCGAAGGGGGTGGCAACTGTTTTCAACAGATCAATTCTCATCCTGACACCGCAACGAGCCTTAAAATTTACTGCAACAACGCCAGACCGTCACTATGTCTGGCTTACAGCTTTGTCATTCTTAGCACATTCATCCCAGGCCATACCCGACATGATCTCTGCACCAGCTCCGCTGCTTAAACCGACACAATTGCCTGTTGCCGAGTTTCCTCCAGAACCTAAACTCAAGCGAGGTGGCATTCGCGATTCCATCCGGCTCGCAAAGGGCAGAACTGCACCATCAATGAGGACTGCAGTTCCTAGTGTCCCGAGCATACAAAGCGCTCAATCTTCTCAGTTAGGAGACGTTGCTGAATTCCATATTCCGGAAACACTGGGCGTCATCAGCAGCAGCCACGTTAGAGAGAACTCAGAGGATGCGGCTGAGCCGCCATTTATCCCCAGGTTCAATGAACGAAGTCAAGCCATGGCTCATGGGAGAAAACGAAGCAACACAGGAGGGCATATACCGCCTCCCCTTTCATTTAGAGGGTTCTCAGGTCCTGTCAGTTCTGCGTCGAGCCACAACCCGACCAACAGCACGGCCGCGGCAAGTATTGGTACCGCGGGATCATCTGATATCTATCAGTCTCAGGGTTCCAGTAGCAATGCCTGGGGCTTAGCACCAACATTATCGCAAAGAACCTCGGAAGCTTCTTCGCAGAGGGCTAACTTTTTCGACGCGGTGGGAACTGTTCGCATGGAAGCATTCATTAGCCCACTCACCAGCTCGCAGTATGACGAGTATCCCGATGCTAGAAGCGAATCGAGTTATATTGGCCGCAGGCTAAGCAAAGAAGCTCGCCGGAGGAGAAGCCGTAGCAGAAACAGATACCGCGATAGCTATGGTCAATACTCGGCGACAAGTCGACGAACCTCTGACGACCGCTATGGATCGAGTCGCATTGGGGGAGACGACGAATCATATCGGGATGATCCCTTCCGAGGATTTTAAGAGGATATTTGGGTTGGACAGGCGCTCATTATAGATAGAATTTTCTTTTATATCATGGCGTTATGGACAACGCCAGACGCTCGTCACGCTTGGGGCTCTCACAGAAGAGATTCATCGTATTATTTCTTGGGTTCACATGTTCAATAGCCAAGGCAGGATTGGACTGGTAATCTTGGCATGGACCATTGTCGTCCATCTTGTTTGAGATATCATGTTGGGTAGATTAGTTGGGTAAGAGTTGGCTCTTGGTTTTCGAGCTCGACCTACTCCATGTATAATCAATCACTTGTCCGAGAAAATAGTCTCTTTAGTGTTGGCCAATTAGATAGCTTCTTTGAATGGAACAGCTTGATTGTTCTGTAGCTTTGAAATATATTATAATCACATTGTATTGTCGATTGCTGGTATCCAAGAGAAATGATAGAATGGCAAAGGGGAATGCTAGGTGGAGGCTGAGATTGATCTCGTTGTAGTTCCCACCCGCCTGTGGAAACCTTGCGCAAACCCCACCAAAGCCACCAACTAGTCTTCCCCATTAAACAGCTCTTCTCGATGATCGCCCACCACATTTTTGTCACCACTGCTGTTCAGCTAGACCCTCCTTGAGTAATATCAAAAGGCATTCTCTTGCCGTTTCTCTCCCTCTCTTTCTTTATCAAGATCTCGGAATCCTCGCATAGCCCGCACTCGTCTTCCAATCTCTCGTTTGCCCCTCGAAACAAAATTCGACCCCGCCACGATGGAGGGGGCAGCAGAGACCCTCGAGCAGATGCAGGCCCGGCACCGCAAGGAGCTCAAGGATCTGCAGGGGAAGGTGACGAGCAAGAAGAAGAACGCCACCAAGAAGACGCGCAAGGGCGTCAACGACGAGTGCGCCGAGATGGAGCGCTCGACGAGGGAGAGGCACGCCGCCGAGGTGGCTGCCCTCACCGGCGGCGGCGGCGGCGGGGATGCGGACGAGGACGAGGGCGAGGAGGAGAGCAAGCTGGAGAAGCTGGAGGGGAAGCTGGAGGAAGTGCTCGAGAAGGCGACGGAGAAACTGCACATTACCCCTCCGACGACGACGACGACGAACGGCCAGCTGAGCGAGAATAATAATGGTGGGGGTAAGAAGCGGAACCGCCAGAAGGAGCGGCTGGCTCGCCGCGCGGCGGAGCAGGAGGCCGCGGCAGTCCGGGCGGAGGAGGAGGCGTCGGGGATGACGGACCACCGGGCGCGCGAGAACGAGTACATGAAGAAGACGTTCGAGGCGTCCGGCCTGGTGGAGAAGGAGATTGCGCCGGACGGGCACTGCCTCTTCTCCGCGGTGGCGGACCAGCTGCGCCAGAACGAGGTCTCCCTGGGGGAAACGGAGGGCGAGCCGGAGTACAAGGCTGTGCGGAGGGCGGCGTCGAGCTACATGGTGGAGAATGCGGACGACTTCGCGCCGTTCTTGGAGGAGGATCTGGAGCCGTACGCGGTCAAGATGCGAGATACGGCTGAGTGGGGAGGGCAGCTGGAGTTAATGGCACTGGCGAGGCGGTACGGAGTCGAGATCCGTGTTATCCAGGATGGAAGGACGGAAAAGATTGGCGAGGAAGAGGGGAAAGCGTCGGGCAAGACGATATGGCTGGCGTACTACAGGCACGGCTACGGGCTTGGAGAGCATTACAACTCGTTGAGGAAAACGACGTGAAGGAGGTAAGACCAAAAAGCCAAACCATCCCGGGGTATGGGGAGCAGAAACCCCATGACTTCGTTTCCATTGCATATATACGTGGCTCTGGCGTGCCCAAAGCACTTTCATCATCATCATATATCTTTTGTCTTTCCTCAAGCGCCCAGCAAACTTGCATAGTATGCATAATGAGGTGGAAACCAGACTCTAAAAACTCCAAACGGAAATGAAATCATTGACAGTCCCATCTTCATTGGTACCAGCTTGATGCGTCCGGGTCGGTTTGCTGAGACTCAGTCGATGGATGGCGTTGTCTCGAGGTTTTGGGCTTGGGGGAGTGCTGACCGAGCCGTTGCTATCGTATTCTATGGGCTCGCCTGGGCAGGTCAAAAGGGCTTCGTACACTTCGGGAGAGAGCCCCCATGGCGGCCCGCCGCTCGAGAGCGGCTTCCCTGAGGGGAACTCGAGACAGACTAGACGGCCTTTGTGATGGAGGAGTTCGGCCATGCGCTGTGACCATTGGGGTCGCGTCTGAGGTGGGAGGGCGCAAAGGAACTAGAACCTGAGTCAATATGACACACACAACAGCAGTTCTGGGTTTCAAAAGGAGACATACCGTATAATCGAATATTAAATCAAACTTTCCAGTCCCGTCAACACCTGTATTTGCGGCCCAGTCCTGGTCGAAGAAATCGGCCGTTATCCAAGTAATGGTACCCCGGTCGAAATGTTCGCGTGTCTTGTACCAGTCTTTTTCTAGAGACTCCTTTTCGATTTCCTTGGCCTTCTCAATGGCCGTCGAGCTCACGTCGAGAGCCCAGACATTGTAACCGAACGAGGCGAGGAGCAGTGCGTCCCACCCGAAACCGCAGGCGGGAACGAGCGCGGATCGCGACTCTGCGGGGCTGGTGGGGGATGAACGAAGAGGGCTACCGCGGGGGTCGAGTTCTTGCGCAGGCGGGAGGAGGTCTGGACGCTGGACGAGGAGGTCTGCCAGCGCTAGAGAGGGCTTTTTCCGATCCCATGGGCTCAGCGATTCCTTGTAGCACTTGTCCCATTGCTTCGGATGTTGAGAGACGGGGATTGCGCCAAATAGCTCAGACAGCTGAGGGGCACTTGCCATGATGAGGTTTGAGGTCAGGCTCAACCCGACGAGGAATGAGCGAGTCTATGGTGCTGGAGGTCAGATGAGAGGATGATCTTGGTCTATATCTGCTCGCTTGAAGAGTAATTTCGGTATGGCACGATGGAGGCGACTTGCGAAACTCCCCACACACGCAATGCGATGATATGATGTCGATGCTTGCTTTGGATCGCTAGGCTCAGAAAACTGATCAATTGAGGAAGTGATGGTGCCAGAAACAAGACCCGAGATTTTCGGGAAGAAGAAGCCGGACTTCGGCGAGCATGATGCGGCCAAATGGAGAGAGCTGTAGCCTATGTTGGCGTCGATGATTAATAGCGATCAAGCTAAGATGGCTTTGGTGGGGGAGGGGTCAAACGGGTGGGCTCTGCTCGCGTGACTAAGATGGCTCAAACCCCATGGGCTGGTTTGAGTGTCAATTGGGGCGAAGACGGGAGATGGCTTGGCTAAGGCACAGGAGAGATCATTCTGGACTCTCTCCTGGACTCGCTCGTTCATTTGGGGGAATTTTCATTGACTTTGTCGGGTTTCTGGTGGGAAGCTGGGACATGGCTCACCGAGGCTGCGGCTTTGACTTCAGACGAAAGACCGACAGCATAAGCAGCACAACATCAAGACAGGTTGTGGTATGGAAAATTATTCTCTGCGCACTATTGCGATTATCTGTCAATTACGGCCGCAAAAGTAACAACTCATATATTACAGTTGTGTAATGTGGTAGCCATTCTCTTTTTTTTCTGGCACCGGTTCGTGCCTGCTGTATGTGGTACATGCATGAGGCAGGTGCAGCTCAGTTCCCCGGAGCTGGCCCAAAACGGAAATGACGTCGTGCCGAGGCATGTTCGACAGTGAAGCCGAATCTACCTACGACTGGGTGTAACCTCATCTCACTGTCAACGTACCAAAATCACTAACAACAGTCTGTCTTCAAAGCACTACAGACAGAAAGTAGGGAAAACGACGGCAATCGGTAGATGGCTAGACTCTAGACCGTCCAACAACCAACAATTGAAGCCATGGACGCAGCCAGTCTTTTCAATGTCAAGGGCAAGGTCGTCCTGGTCACCGGTGGTAAGATAAACACCAAAGCCATACACCACCCAACCTCGTCTAACGCAGCCCATCACAGGAGCCAAGGGCATCGGCCGGATGATCGCGGAAGGCTTCGTCACCAACGGCGCAAAAGTCTACCTCACCGGCCGCGACCCCAAGGCCCTCGACCAGGCCGTCGCCGAGCTCACCCCGACCGCCACCCGCGCGGGCGCCCCCGTCCCCGTCGCGATCCCCGCCAACCTCCAGGAGCTCAAGGCCTGCGAGGACCTCGTCGCCCGCATCACGTCCCTCGAGCCCAAGGGCCTGCACGTCCTCATCAATAACGCCGGCGCCGCCTGGGGCGCCGGCATCGACGAGTACCCGGACGCGGCGTGGACAAAGGTCCTCACCCTCAACCTCCAGCGCGCCTTCACCCTCAGCCAGCTCTGCCTGCCCCTCCTCACCGCCGCCGGCACCCAAGGCGACCCGGCGCGCATCATCCACATTGGCAGCATCGACGGCATCCGGGTCCCCATCATCAACAACTACGCTTACAGCGCGTCCAAGGCGGGACTGCACCATCTCTCCTCGCACTTGGCGCGTGACCTCGGCCCCCGTCATATTACTAGCAACGTCCTCGCCTGCGGGCCCTTCGCCACCAAGATGATGAAGGCCACTCTCGACTCGATGGGCGAGTACATCCGCAGCGAGTTGCCCCTTGGGCGCACTGGGGAGCCCGAGGACGTGGCCGGCGCTTCGTTGTTCCTGGCCAGCAAAGCTGGGTAAGTCTACGCAGTGCTGCCTTGCTCATGTCTCTATCGGACCATTCTATAAATACCTATTCAGAAGGAGCCTTTGCTAACAGATTGTCTAATATAGGGCTTTCGTGAATGGCGCTTTGATCCGGGTTGATGGAGGTGCATCCCTGGTTTCTAAGATATAGACTTCCATCTAAAGATATTGTTTATAGACAAGCACACATCATGAAGTATATACGACATTGAGCTCTGTTGAAGCGAGGCTCAGGACGTCCTCTCATAACGGTTCAAGACCGTACCGTCAAATCATGTATATACTAGCAATAAGAGCTCTCTTGACTTTTCAACCTTCCCGCATGGTAGCACTCCGATTGGCTTGTAGAACTAACGGCGCTTGAAAATACGTTGCTTGAATATGCATGATCGAGGCTAGTGGTTTGCTACTCAAGGCCTCTCCCTAAGAAAAGAGGTACGGGAAGCGGCCTCACCATCTCAACTTTGGAGGCCAAAATGCCAAAACCTGGTTGTCAAGTTCCCAAGCGCCCCCGAGCACACCGAATACCAGCTTTAATATGCCCATCGTAGTTGAGCGTAGACTAGGAAAGCTGAACATGGTTCTATAATACAGCATTAATGTGCAAAGTCGGAAGTCCGAAGAGGGCTACGACTCCTACAAAAAAACACCCAAACAAAAGGACAACATTTCCCCGTCAACTACCAACTTGCAGATTAGATGACTCTAGCTCCTGCAAACAAAGCCAGCCTGGTCTATGACGATGTTGAAAAGCACACTTTCTACATCATTACACACAGGTTTCTTGACAGTCAAGTAACAGCGTGTCCGAGGCTCACCACCATCCAATAAAACTTACATTATGCTGTCTCATCACCAGGCTCTCAATTATGGGTGATTTGAATTCGAACCATACTTGCCAAGGTGGATTCATTCGACCCGGAAAGGAGTATGGTACACATCCCCAGAACTCGATATGTTCTGTAAGGTATGTACCTATCCGGGTTGCGCTTCGCCCCAGTTGGTCTGTCCCAATCGTGGAGGTCTTCCGTGTATCTAATGTATAAGAGTAACAGTGTCCCGGATCGGCCATGACAGCACGAACCAGAGCTCCAACGAGCTCGACAATGTCCTCTCCAGTGTTTGCTGGCTCGTTTGGGCCACCATCTAGTCGGCCCCTCCCTCTTCTGCCAAGATGGCTCGTATCTTGGCTCGGAGCGGAGATTGGGGGGCTGATAAATTGCAGCCTGGGCCGTTTTGAGTCGCAACTATCGTCTACCTCTATTTGATTAATGTCTATATTGTAGAGCGCCTCGTACAATTCCAGCATAGCGGGGCTATGATGGCCACATGTTAATTCTGAGGACGTAGCCACTTCACGGTAACTCGCGGTAATGTGCCTATCAATCGATATACGGGCGGTGATTTCAGGTTATTTCCTTTTCGACCTCATTTAATTACACACCAGACATGTCACATGCGTTTGGGCATGGCGATAAGTGAGAAGTGTTGGTATATTGCAGTCATCATTTTAGGTCAAATGCGCCTAATTCCCATCAATAGCGAATAAATCACAAATGGTCATGAAGGGGGATAAATCTATCGAGCCCTCATCTTACCCGCCTCGCTATGCCGTGTGTGCCCAACGAACCGAATGAAACGTCACACATCAATAGTGCCACCCTCCTATGATGCATTCAGCCTATAGCCCGACGCCAAAATCCAGAACAATGCACCGGAAAAAAAAAAAAAGAAAACCATAAGGCAAAAGAAATAGCAAGATAAATAGTCCCAGCAGATATGAGACAGTCCACTTTCCATGCTCAGCTCGAGATTGGGGAGGACCCATGGGATTCATGCAGCATTCGGTGTCGCCGAGGCGACTGAAGCTCACTCGTGGCAGCAGCAGTTTGAGCTGAACAATTGCTGCGTCACGCTGACTTGACAGGTCATTGTGATCTCGTGCCCCCGAGGCATACATAGACATCACATGCCAGGATGTGATGCAATTGTCTCGCTTCGGCCGCCAGTAAAGGCCGATTATTAGGCTGGATAAATGTTTGCCTTTTTAGAAGAAGCCACACTCCTCGAAGTCGCGTACCATGACTGCGACCTGTGCCCGCTTTGCTGCCTCCGCAACAAGGGTAAAGTCCTTGAGGAAGGGGTCAGTTGACGGAGCCTTAGCCTGCGCGGGGGCAGGCACGGGCATGCTCGTCGAACTGGGCGACTGTTGGGAGTAAGAAGAGGAGGCGGTCGGCGCACTTCCCGAAGCGTTTGAGTTGGAATCCATGTCGGCGAATGAAAAGATTGTGAAGAGAGTTGATTTATGCTGGTATCTCGTAGGTGGAATAAACGACAGACGATTGAGTCAAAGGTGTGCGTGTCCGGCCTGCTAACGACCCGGGACGGTTTGGGAAAAGAAGGGGGAGAGATGCAGTTGGGCGGGAACCGGATAATATATTTGTAGACGGCCAGGAATGACAAGCCCTCGTTTTGCGATGCGACCTGACAAGACTAGCGATCCGATCGATCTTTCATAAAATCCGCCCGTATCCAGGAAGAGAAGGAGGCAGAGACGCAAGCAAGACGACGGTAATGATGCAGGATGGTGGTGCCGTAAGAGCTGAAAGCTTGCGACCGGGCCTCTGAGAATCGACTGATTCGGAAGTGTTCACGTCACTTTGCCAATAAAACGCGGGGGGTGCAGCTTATGAAGTATTCTTAGTCCTTAGTCGCCCCAAAAGCAAGCTTCAACGGGTTGCCGTCCGAAGGGCGAGAAGCCTCGCTGGTGCACTTAAGCCTGGGCCGGGCCTGGGGAAGAATGTCGATCTCGGGAAATGATGTCGAGGGTGCGCTAGCTTGGAAGCGTCCCCACAAAGTTACGCAGCACTTCGGATTTGTCTGTATGTAATCTGAATGAGGCCGGTGATATTGTGTTGTTGATGTATTTTGCCAGAGACCTTGGGAAGTTCTGGTTCACAGAGGGTGTGAAGAGCTTGGCTTTTAATGGTGTGTAAGTGGAAAATGACCTTGCAATGGATCCGCGGTAACTCTAGATCCTCGTCTTTATTGGAGGGGGGAGCAGGTCAGAGCGAGAGGATGATGGTGGGTTGGATCCTAAGGCTAATGCAGTCGCTTCGAGATGTTCCTTGCTGGTTGCGTGGGGGCAGGCTGCTGTGTGAGGTAGCGTAGCGCAAGACACAGGGTTCGTCCGTCGGGCTTCGTGATGTACTGTGTTGCGGCTGCACAAGATGCTGGATTATCAGCGGTTGTGGCGGCTGGTAGTCTGATGATCGTGGTCTGGGGAAAATTATAGAGGTGAGGGGAGCGGGATTTTGGGGGCGCTGCTCACGATATTAGTAGTCTCAGACCAAAAAGTCTCATGATAAGACTTTTTGGTCTGTTCAATTATTCCATATCTCGTCCCCGCCGGGGTGAGGAAGGCACGACTCATCTGACGCTTGCCGATGGATACTGCCTACGGATACAAGATAGGCAATAACAGAGGAGGGGCCTTTTCCGGGCCAAACACCAGGGCTGATCAGAAGCAGGAACTGAGACAAAGGCCTGGCTAGCGGCCAAGGTATCGTCAGTAGTGGGGAGTACATGCGAGGCACGACGGCCTAAAGGGTGAAATCTCTCTCCCGACGGGTACTGGGCGAGTATACCTGGACAGCGAATAGGCAGTGAGAGTACCTGCAGGTCTAACCGCTGCTACCCATGGGGTTGCGGCCGTCCGTCCCCATTGAAATCCACGCGACAAGCTCCATAATGAGCGCCATCACTGTCATCCGTCTAGCAAGATACCAAATCCGCAGGTCTAAGCGCTCCAGTCGCCCCGTTGGCCGGTCTATGCTCTGCTCACGCCTTCTTGCCTAGCTCTCACGAAATGCTCGCTATCCTCTTGGTCCCTACATGCATCTGGCTGAGATGGACATGAACTAGTCGGCGACAAACCCGAGGCCTAAAACTACCAGGCCGAGAAAAGAACCTACATGGCCGATACGTAGGTTGGGTAGGTAGGGATCGAGGCCCGAGTGTCAGAATCACACTATGTCTGCTGCAGAGCACCTCCACCTTGTTATTGAAGAGGCTTGCCACACGTGCAAATCATCGTTTCATTTCGGGCCTTCCATCCAGAAGATATCAGCAGTTTGGCCAAGAGAAAAGAAAAATTCGCTGCAATGGACCCTTGGCTGGGACGCCGAGATCGTTCCGAGACCAGTCTCCATCACAGCTCCATTGCGACCCTGGAGAAATAACCACACCCATGCCCGTTCCACGTCCCGCCCAATAGTCCAGAGCCTAGAAACGGGCAGACTTGCAGCCTCAATGTCTCGTTGGGCTTGGAGACTCTAGAACACATGGCTTGCCTTTTCCTTAATTTTCCATTCCGGAGCGAGGAATGGCACCGTAGCCCTATGCGAAAGCTGGGGTAAAGCATTGTCTCGGCTCGATTCTCGTCTCGAGGCAGCCGGACGGACATGACGTCTACGCCGCGAGACGTACCTATATACCCTGGCCAAAACAGATAAGCACTCGGGCCCAAGGCCGTCATTCTTGGCTAAAGGCCGGCCGGCATTAGTGGTGATCCATCGGTCAACACGCAATGTAAGGTTCGCGGTGGCAGAGATAGCAGCATTGCAGCCGCCGGGAAACCTCGGGAAAAGTCGAGTCTGTGCATCCCTTCGAGTCCCGCTCACACCGCACGGTCTTTGCCCAAGACCTTCCAAATCCCGCACCTCATGATGCTACCAAGCAGCGCCATTTTAGATCTGGAGTGGAGCCGGATCCCAAGTGTTCTGGCAACCTTCTTTTTCCCCTTCTCGCATTTAAAAAACCCGTACGAGGGTTGCATATGCAAGGAGAGGTTGCTTTCCCAGCCCACCCCTGCCGGCTTTCCGCCGGGAGAATATTCCATCGAGGTAGAGTGTCACTTAGACCCACCGTCCTTTTGATTTGGAAGCACATACTACGTTTACCTACCGAGTGAGGCATCTTTTCACCTTTTTCAGCCGGTGAGATAAATTTAATTCAGAGGAAAATCAAGAGATATAGATTCATGTATGAACTATCAGTAAACTCCGTACGGATGGCCACATTCATTGGCTCCCTGCAATTCGAGCAAACTCTTTGTTCCCATTGGTTCTGGAGAAATTGTTCCCGAGGCTTTCCCATTGGCGGCTAAGGAGAAAATAAAAGGGCGACACGGACTGCGTAGTAAATTTGGAATAAAAACAGTGACAAGTTGACTTGAGTTAGAACGGAAGTGGCCGAGTTAAGTTGCCTTCTGCCAGCTGGAAATGGCTTCCCCTACCTTGAAGGTTTTGAGTCCAATCCTTGTTGTAATGAGCCTTGGATCTGTTATTTTTAATAAGCCATAGAATGCAAAATACGTTGTTGAGGTATAATCAGAATTGAACAAAGAACGACTAAGATGCCTAGTTGCCCTTGAAACAGACTGAATAGCGGGAAAGGCATGAGCTTGTGTCCTTCCTCGAATGTAAAGCATACAGGCCACATTCTCAGGGGGGCATATTTGCCCACGACCAGGCTAGTTTCAGTTCATTATTGAGTGTCTGCCAACGCTGGAGCCTTATGGACTAAACTATGGTGGTGAGTCCTTAAACTCAGCATTTCAGGGCCGCCAGTCTCTCTACCGAAGGTTTTTTTCCTTTTCTTTGAAGAGTATATCAGTCACATGGTAACTCATCTTCATTGTTGTGTTTATAGACGCCCAAGGATTGCTACGGACGAGAACAAACCCCCAACATTGAGAATCCAGTGATCCGTTACAAGACTGATTCTTAATGCATATACATGCAATCTAAGTCAAAGAGAAAGTATGCGTCAACTCAAACATCTATGAACCATTTTGGCCCCGTGTGCCACATACCTTAGCTACTTTGATACAGCGCGCCTGTATATAAGACTCTATTTCTCAGGTTATCTCTTAGATTTATGACCTTTCTTGAAGTATCAAATTGAGCGGTTATAAAAGCCCAATCTTATTAAGATGTCATACCCATACATAACAGCACTTTATAGGCCATGCAGAGGTTGGGTCCAAGAGGAAGAACTCGTCATCCCAGAGCTATCTGCAATATGTCGAGCCAACATCACCACCCTCAAGAGTCAGCTTCCTGGGCACGTACCAGAAGCCCTCCAGAAGCTGGAGGAGTTCTTCATTGAACCTTTAATCGTTCTCGACGGCATGCTTTACCAAGGGTTCCATTTCACTCCCTCCCTTCATGATGAGCCGAACGATCTGATAACCATAAGGTATATGCTCACGGGTATTATGGAGCTTACTGAGAAAGACGATGGCGTTTCAGCTATGGAATTCCTCAATACTGAGGCCCTTGATAAGCTCGACTGGCTGCGCGATTCTCTACTTCGTTTTCTCAACCGGCGCGCTGGCCATTCTGATTACAATCATCGCCTTCCAGAGCCTGACAGTCAATTCTTACGATCAAAATACAAGAGCCTCAGAAAACATGTGGAGCATCAGATTCTCCAGGACAAAGGGTCTGAAAATATCGAGAGTCATGGACTTAACGCTCTCCAGCGGCGGTTAGTTGACAGTGTCTTGCTTCGAAAGGACCGCTTTGAACGTGCTCGAGCACACTACAAGACAGTCATGGGTACCTCGACATTGGAAGGTAAAAGCCAGGGACAGTCGCGGTTCAAGTCACCCATCCAGCCTGAGCCAATACTTAACAAGCATGATTTCCCAGAACGTCCATGCTTCACCCGAAGTGACCCGTATCGGACATGTCCATGCTGTTTCCGATCAATCTTGGAAAAGGATGTGCAATCTGAGTGGGGATGGAAGTAAGTTGTGCTTCGAACTACATTATATGATGGAATATTGCCGCTAACAACTGTGGAACGACAGGTGCCATGTCTACGACGACCTTGCCTCATACACATGTATCGCTGAGGATTGCCCTGAAGGCGGCCACCTGTTTTCCACCATCCAATCGCTCCAGGCACACATGGAAACCAGCCACAACAAATTGAAATACTCATGCTGCGATGCCAGTTTTTCTGACTACTCAGAGCTGCTCCTCCACCTGGATGGCTCGTCATCAGCGTCTTATGTCAGTAGACGTAGAATGGTTCTGGGTCTACGATCATGTCCCCTATGTTCATTCACCGCCGACGAGGATTCAGTTGAGTTGGCCAATCATGTGATTGACCACATGTTCCGCTTTTCTTCCAAATTCTGGCCTTGGATCGAAACGTATGATGAGGCTGATGAACCTCCAGAATATAGCAGAGTGGATAGCAAGGCTGGGCATTGGCCTTGAATGCAACTCAAGTTCTGATTTATTGCTCAAAACTAGGCCGACGCTTAACCATCGCACCTCGAAGATAGTCTTGACAATGGCGGCAGTCTATTTATGTCTCATGTCACTGGAAGGCTATGTATGCAGTCTCACTCGTATCTTTCATTTGTTCTAGAAACTTGTAAAATCTAGATAGCTACAGCAATTCATTCCTCAATGCTTAAACTTAACGAGCCAGATTTCCTCCCATATAGCAACAGACGCTTACCATGTTGCACCCAGTGACCACATTTAGAAACTGTCAGTGTTTAGGGATAAATATGAAGGACAAATACACCTGTTATCTTCCGCACACCACCTTCCTCGAGCCAGAAAGGCCATGTTGTAGTTGTATTCCGCATCCCCTACCATACGTTACTGCTGGTGCGTCACCTGCAGCTACTGCAACATCGTATCCCACAACGGCCAATCTAGAGCGCCCGTGAGATGTAGCATCGGCCGCGACCAGGTCGGCTTGCGCTGCCGAAACACGACGCCGCACCGTCGATGTGGCTTTAATTTTCCGAGGGGGTCAGCAAGGAATAGCCGGCATGGGTTATATGCATGTGCATATGTAACCTCTCGACAGCCCGTGTGTCAGTCCACTCGACGGCAAAAATCACACCATCTGCCGTGGCCGCCGGTTAAACAAGGCGGTGAGGTGAGGTCACTGAGATTGATGCGGCTCGGGAGCTCTGCGGGGTCTTTTCTTGGGGGTCTACGGGCTCAGGCTGCCCCGCTTGAGAGGCCCCTGCTGCCTGTCGGTCAGGGCCCTTGGCCTGGGGTAGGGTTCGCCGAGCTCTGCCGAGATTGGTGGATGTGTGCACCTCAACGGGTTTCGGCCAGTTCAACCTCCGGACCGCAAGCTTTCTGCTGACACCCGACCACACGCACCAACCCACGCTCAGTCTGCTTGCTCGCTCGAGTCGACGAGAGCGAGTCCGCGCGCGCAGGATCCGACGTGATGCCTCCCGATTCGCGCAGCTGGGTCACCGTCCCTGCACCCGTCAGGGACCTGTTCAAACTCTTCCCCCTCCGCGTCTACGCAGCAGAGGAGCTCCCCTCCCGTGCTCCTCAACCCACCCGAGTTCGCCCATCCCTCTATGTATTCGCACTCGATGGTGACTGTGCTCGCCCCAGCTTCAATCCGTCATGTCTTAAATGGCAGGTTCGTAGAATCGCCGGGGTGCCCCGATGTCGCGTACTAGATAGCTAATCGTAGAATCGTCGTTCCTTGTACAGACTTTCCTGAGGATCGCCGGCGTTGACGTCGACCTCATCCCATCCAACAACCACGCCTCGCCCTCCGGCGCGCTGCCCTTCCTCCTCCCTTCCTCCACAAACTCCGGATCATCACCTCCCTTAACGGGTGGTAAGATCCAAAAGTACGCGCAGGACAATGCCACTAAGAAGATCCCAACCATAGAATCCAACCGGCAAGAAGCATACCGCTCCCTCATCACACAATCAATCCGCCCAGCATGGGTACGTCTCGTCCGCTCCCCATCCCTCTGAACGTTTATGTAGTTCACCACCGGCTAATCGTCTCAGCTCTACTCCCTCTACATCGACCCCTCCAACGCCCCCCTCCTCAAGACGCTCTACCTCCCGCCGTCGCCCCTCCTCGCCTACTCGCTGCACCACACCCTCGTCGCGGCCGCCTCAGCCGAGATCCTCAAGACCACGCGCACGCCCTACGTCCGCACCGCCCAGCTGTACGCCGACTCGGCGACCGCCTTCGCCGCCCTCGAGACCCTCCTCGGCAACGACGCCTGGTTCTTCGGCGCGGGATCCCCGGGGCTCTTCGACGCGGAGGTCTTCTCCTACACCTGGCTGATCCTGGATGAGACCCTGGCCTGGGGGAAGGGCGGGGAGCTGCAAAAGTCCCTGGCTGGGTTCAAGAAGCTGGTCGCCCACCGGCAGAGACTGTACGAGTGGTGTTGGTAGAGAGGGCGGAGGGGGAGCCACCCGACCAAGACCATGATAACGACCCAACCGACCCCAAAATAGACGACGAATCTTGTACGAATATATTGAACCTCTGTAAGATTATCCAAATGAAAAATTCGGTGTGGTGGGAAAAAACATAGAAATGGCACATCCATCGGACGGAACAACGCGAGGATCTGCTGGGAAATACATCAGTAATACAATAATCAACGATACGTGGATTTTGTATGGTTGCCCCTTCTCATCCGGGTCTATGGTAATCTTCTTGTAAATTTGTGATTTACTATAACTGCGGCGTGACTAGAGACTTTGAATTCTGAGCGGCCCTCGCCTTGCTGGGGGCCCAGTCAACCCGCTCTGCATCAGTTTAACCGGCATGATCCATCGAGTCTAAAACCCAAAGACAAGTTATGTACACAAAAGGAAAGAAAAAGCAGATCCCGGGATTGGACATGCGGAACCTAAGGTGCATGCAGGATCATGTGAAAGGGGGGCGAGACGAACCCGCCTCCGGCTTCTCCAGCTCAAGGGACCAAATGCCCAGCCACACCCATTGCCAGGTAGAAGAAACCAATCGCTCCTGAAATGCGTTTGTGGTAGACAGGAGATAGAGTCATAATCAGACGCCCAAACACCAAAAAGCTTCCAAAAACGTCACCAATATCGAGGGAGTAAAAAAGGGAGGTGCGAATTCATCACTATTAGAATGTAAGTGCGGGCGTGCCCACATGGCGGTATCGCTTGGTGACCCGGACGGCTTGGGGGTTTAGAATTGGTTATGTTTGGAAATGTCGTCAACAATATCCTGGACAGAGACGAAAGCCCCAACTCCACCCTCTTGCCGCAGATCCTCCAAGAGGACCGTGGTTTGAGCATAAACCTTCTCGAGAGCGGCGCGCGATGACTTGCCCAGAGACACTAGAAACAATTAGTCCTTTGGTATCCAAGAGGTGGCCGAAGAGAAGTAGTCAGAAAAACTCACGTAGGATAGCCGAGTTGAGCTCCTCGGCCACGGCCACCCGACCTGACCTGTCCAGTAGATGGCTGAACATGGGTTCTTTGAGCGGGTTCACGTAGGCGGCCAGAGGGAAGATATCGGCGAGGGCCTGGCTGACTTCTTTCCGCGGGTCGTTGGCATACTCTGCCTGCAGAGTCTGGCCATACTTCAGCATGTTCCGCTCGAGCTCCTCAATCTCCGACGATAAATGCTCCTCGTCTAATTCCATGTTCTCATCCACATCCATGAGCTGTGAGAGCGAGGCTCCCAAATGACCATTGTTCCTAGGTTTATCCATCGACAGCCTCAGCTGAGCAGCTTTTCTTATCATCTCCACAAACTTCCGGCATCGCAGGCGAAAGTATACGTATCCGTCGTGGTCCAATACGTCAGGATAGTAGGTCGATGTGTACTTAAGAGCCCTATCAATGTCTCCTTCTAGTATTGCCGCTCGGATACCTACTCAGCTGTCAGCATCTACGATCTCTCGTCCGGACCTTTGAGACTCACGTTGTCTATTATTGGCATCCTCATCATCCTTGATGCTAGTGCCGGCGACCTTGGCATTTGGATCCAACGATAGCGCTTCCTTCTCCACGGTTATTTCGTCTGCAAAAGCACGAGCCGTCTCCACGTATCCATCGTGCTGAAGAAATTGCAAAACCAGAGTTTGAAGAAGCTCCGATTCGTTCAGGTCAGGGTCCAGATGAGACGTGGAGGTCGCCTCGATATCCCGTTGGATTTTTTCTCGTTGTTCCTAAGCGCATATTAGATGATATTGTATGAACGATGATGTCCCATATTCACATACCTTCACCATATCGTTAATATTGTACACGAAAGGATGCTGGCCAAAGTTGGCGCGGATCGTCTCTCCAGGCTTCTTAAGACTTATGGCAGGGTACAACTTTCCCCGAAGGTCGTCAAAAGCGCTTCCTGCAAGGGCATGTCAGTCTCAAAGCGATGGACCTTTCCGGGTTTCAGCAAGGCTCTTTACCAATCTTGACGCCGTTTCTTGTGAAGAAGGCAGTATTTTCGCGGAAGTTGACACCGCAACCAATAACATCTCCCTGATTAAAAGGCGGACCAAAGTGTCTTCCCGAGTTGTGGGCTGTGAAGCATCTCCCGTCATCCCCATGATATGCCCAGGACTCAGGCTCCCAGCCGATCGATCGGGACAAGGTTGCGTTCTTTGTTGAGAAGCCGACAGCGATGGTGGTACTACAACGGGGTTAGCGACCCTCAATTCATGGTTACTGCGGTGATCGATCGTGTCACCTACTCGTCCTTTTTACTTGATACAATCTCTACCTCATAGTAATAAATACCACACTGGGCGGGCATGTGGTTCTCAGCCCGAACAGCGCTGGCCTCATGGTCACGCTCGTTATGAGTCCTGGGCCCGGTATACTTCACAGTCCGGCCATCTGGCTGGATTTCGATATTGGACCACATGTCATGCTTGTTCCACTTTGAAGGGAGCGACGTTAAGACATCCTCATCCTGGGACGACGACTGTCTCTCGATGATCTGATGAGACAGGCCTCTGTGGGATCCAGATGGAACGGGGTCTGGAATCGTTGATATGTCGGCCGTGAGGTCACTTCCGGCAGACCGCTTCGACTCGTTCTGCTTCGTCCTGTGCGCCTCTGCGAGTTTGCGCATGTACGTGGAACCTCGAAGGTACGAGGGTACGAAGAACCGGCCGTCCAGGCTGCTGTCGTCTGTGTCATCGTGGGCGAGAAACTGGCTAAAGATCCGTGAGTGGTGCTGCAGCGTGTCCCCTCTCCTCCACGCATCGCCTGATCCCATCATGTCGGCCGACACTCGACCGTCCAGTCCGTCCATGATGCTATATATGCCTTCGCGGTCGGGATCGACGTCCAAACCGAGCGTCATGCAGGCTGGCGGCTATGACGTCTGCATCCAGAAGCTGGGTATAGGCGGGCGAGGTGTTGGGAAGAGTGGTGCGGCGTGGGGTGACTCTATTCGTCCAGCCGGTGGCTATCGAGGTCTCTAGGCCGGTAGGTAGAGAAACAGTGGCGTCGGGAGGGGGTCTGGGGTGCTGGGTGAGGCAAGCGGTTATCCTATCTGGCGACAAGCAGGCCAGGCCAGGATCTCAGCACACAATGTATCGCGTGGACAATCAGCGACTGGTGGACTACGCTCGCTGTGTAGCTGGGACCCGTTGCGGAGCTTCCGTAGGTCTGGAGCTGCAGCTGTCCGGATACAGCTCACAGGTTGGATGCAGTCTGTCTGTCGCTCGCCGACAGTATCCACCGGGTCTCCGCAGCCGTTGAACGGGATGGATGGGTTTGTTTCGAAGGCTTCGCGAGCGTCGTTGTTATTGGTCGGCTTCGTGGCCTTGGGATGGGGTAGTGTGCGATGTGGCAGCTTCTGGGACGAAGTGCTGGGCGATCGGTCCCTCGCCTCGCCTCGCCTGATGGATAGATGCGAGTAGTGAGAGGTATTGTATCCAGGCGTCACGTACGGTACATACGTCAAAGACCCGCAGACGGTCAATTACGGCATCACTGGCCCAGATAACACCAGGCTCGGCAGGCAAAGGAGAATATAGGCAAGTATGTAGCAAGGTCGGTGCAGTCGCTCTTCACACTGGAAGCGTCTCCGAGTCTGCACCGTCAAAGGCTAAATGATGGGCAGCAGCAGAGGGGTTGCTTTGATGAAGCTCCTCAAGGTCTCAATTGCACTGGACAAACAAGCTGGGTGATGCCACTCCAGCAGGGACTAACAGCGGGGTACATCGCTGCGGTGAGTTTTGGGCGGTGTTATCCCTGGCGCCAATGTAAATGATAGCGCATTCTGTTAGTAGCGCAGCCAGACCCCTCGTGTGATCACCCCAGCCGAGTTTTGGTGGACCTGGCTAATACCGATCGAGCGCCAGCCTGAGAGCAGCCAGCGAGAAGATTAGATGCTCACATATTGGCGCCCATCCGTTCATACGTAGTTCGCCATCAGGCGGCCCATGACCCCTCCCTTCAAGGTAGAGAGGAAAGCAGGCTCTATCCCAGTGGTGCTTCTCCTCTCTCGTGCCAGCGCCCGGAGGAAACCTCCTAACCTCCGTTATCACCCTCCACCAGACCCAAGGAACTTACATTGGTAGGTACAGTACTGTAGTGTGTGTGTGAATGCACTCAGCCTCTTCAAGAATCTCAGTATGGGCCTGATTGATTTTTAGATCAGTAGAATCACTGTCGACTCTAAGCGATGAATTGAAATGCCATGTATCATTTTCCGAGCCAAGGGGGTAAAAATAACTCTTTCCTGCTTCGCATGTTGCGGCTGTACATGTTGATATCACGCTAGGATACAACGTCAGAGGGCTGGTGCGTCAGGTTTTATGTCACCCCATTGCAGGCACCGAATATGCAAGTTATGCTTCTATTGTGAATGTGGCCCATCTCAGCGCTCAAACCTGCATCAGCGCCCGCCAGTGATTGGCTTGCCGTGATCAAACACGCCGCAAGGATACTACCGCTTCCTGCAGGATCATAAATCAGTGCTGTCTCACACTCTACGGCCCCAGCTCAGGATGCCCCTACGATGAGGTTACAAGCAAACATCAGAAAGGACTCGATGACAGTTCCGGGGCTTCCAGGACAAACTGCGTTCTGGCTCCGCTCTGATTTCAAAGCGACTCAGAGTAAAACCAGGCTGGATTGACATCCGGCTCACTCCAGACATGCTGACTAAGTCACTCATACTACATCACCAACGTCCGATGACAGAACAAGCCTGGTTCTTGAACTTGCCAAGGTGGTCATCTTGTCGCCGCTTGCGTCAACAGCGCCAGGCTACTACCATGGCGAATCACATCCTTCTGAGCATGATTTCTTTCACTTGAAGCACGAAAATGCCGGCAGCATGGCACGCAATGGGTTGTCTAGAAATTCGAACCTTCTTTGGCCTGTCAACTCCCCAATAATAAAAACAACCTTTCTAGATGCACCTCGTGATGTAGAACACTCAATTACTGTACATGGGATGATTTGATAGCCATAAACCCAACACTGTTCCCATGTTTCCCGTCTTTGCCTGAAGACTATACTTGTAACCAAACGCCAGCACACACAGTGCTTCAATGACCTGCCTAAACTCCGAAACAATAAAAACCGAAAACAGACGTCGCCCAATGTATCTAGAAAGGTATGGGGAAACTGGAAATAAGAAAATGGAAGGCCGAAGGCTGAGGAAAGCTGGGCGGGTTGTTGATTCATGATTATGAAGCCGCCGCAACAGCCGCCGGGGCCGGCGAGGAAGCATGAACACTGGGTGGCGCGCTTTGCATCTCCACGTCAGGGCCGATGTTGCTGTTGGCAGTGCTAATAACGCCGGGCACTTCTTCCTTGTTCTCCTTGCCGCTACTGTTATCCGCGGATGGAACGGTCGAGTCCTCAGTTGCGGAATCTGGGTTCGTCTTAGGGGGCGCAGTCCATCGCGAAATCTCCCAGACGACGCCAGTGAAGCTCTTGAGGGTGAATCCTCCTCTGGCCCACTTGCGGCAAGGCTTGCCAGATCTATCGAGTGCACGAAGTCCAGCATTGATGGCGCCCTGGTTCGCCTTGGGGCCGAGTTTATGTCCACCTGCTACTCGGTTCGACGCGGTCGCGTGGTCGATGGTTCCATCCTCGCTATGTCTGATTAGTATCAAGTTGTCAATTGGGAGACGGGACAATGCTTACAGGCGAGGCTTCTTCTTAGGCCCGGGCTTTCCTCGTTGCTTAGGAGCCGAGTCTCCGTTGCCATTTGCGGCTGCGGCAGATCGCTTGACGCCCTTCTTCTTGCCACCCTCTACAGGAGGAGCCAGTGTCGCTGGGCCAGGGGTTCCTTCTGGCTGTGGTGTCGCGGCATTGGAGTCGGATGCATCTTCGCCATTCGTGGTAGGCGCGGCAGATGGTGCAGCCTGGGAGGCTGGCGACGACTTGACTTCGAGAGACTCTTGCGCCGGGGTGCCTTCGTCGCTGGTGGTATCAAGGCTGAGCAGGTCGCCGAGTGCCTTGGATGGAACCTTGATCGTATGGATCATGGTAGGCTTCTGCGTCCCTGACTTCCGTCGAACAGAATCATTCGACTTGGCGTTCGGCGCCATGATTGAAAAATGCAGACGTGTATTTGATGAAGCAGGAGCGAGATCGTTGGCGGCGATGATGGGCAGGGGAGGATGATGAAAGGAGGAAGTGGCTGCTGGATGGAACACGGGTGATGCGTGGGGATTTTTGTTGGTGGGCGGTCGGGTACTCTGCAAAGCTGAGTCGCTGAGGCTATTTGGTGTACTAGCGAGCGACTCTGACTGTGGTGATCCAGAGCGAGCGCCTTGTCAGGGGTTTATCGATGTAGGTGGATGCGTGGATCAAGACGCGATGGTGTTCATGATGATTTGGGATGGAGGTTGTGATGGAAAGGAGGATGGAGGGAAGAGAGTTGGGGGTGGAAACGGCATCGAGGGAGGCAATTTCATTTTTGGGGCTTTGAGGTGTGGTCTGGCTGGTCTCAAGTTTCTTTATTTGCTGTGCTAGGAACGGTGTCAGTCAATCAATCCGGGGATCGCAGCAGCGAGGAGCAAAGGCCCTCATCATGCTTTCCGCCGCCAGGTCCCGGCCACCTGCAATACGCCTTTCCCCATCAGGCCTAGCCGCACGCTGCACAAATCGACGGCACAACTTTATGCGCCTTTCCGTGCCAGTGGCCTCCAGAATTGCCAGTCCTTGACGCGGACGCAGCCTACCATCGACCGACCTTAGCAGTGTTTTGGTCACCAACACACGCACGCACGCAACCTTGAACTGGCAAGGTTCTGCACAACAGCCCCGTCACTTCGGGGCGAGCGCCTAAGCTTCCAGCCATTTATTTCTGCATTTGCGCCCGTCACTGCCCGCCCTGCCTTTGTCCTCGCAGTCAAAGGGCAGTCAATACAGCAGGAGGCAGGCAGCGATGCGTCGGTGACGGACTGACATCAGCTGGAGTGTGGCGCCCCCTCGCACCCGTCACCAGTCTCCAGAATTGGGAGTGATCACATCCAGCAAGGGGCACGAGTCGAGACGCCCAGCCCAGCCCAGCCTAGTCTAAGGCTTGGGGGTGAAAGGATTTTTTCCCAACCCACCTGCTGTGTGTCGCCAACACCACCTGCAAAGGCCTCAGACAGCTCCAGCAACCAGGCTTTGGGCCGCGTAAAGAGGGGAAGCCTATGCGCAGAGCCACCACGGATTCTCACCGCCCACCCGGCACGAGAATGAAGCCGCCTGACGCGAGGAAATCCCGATAACCACCCAACCGAAACTTACGTATGCCTCGGCCGACAAGCATCCCTTTTCTTAGCACCACGCCACCTGGAAAAAGTTTCCACGTTATGCGTTCACAGCTGAAGCTTCCCGTAGCCCACTCGCGCCGGCTGAATGGATCAAAGCCAAATTCCTGCTCCATCGCATGATTCCGCCCGCCGTCGTAACTTGAATGAAGTATGCAAACTAACCGGTGGCAGCCATGAAGTAGTTCTGGCCCGTATGATACCATGTCAAGATCGACATATAGATAGTAGAGATAAATGAACAAGTCCGATCATTTCCCCAGAGTCAACAGGCACCGGATCACTCTGAAACTTGGTCAGGATCTAATGGAATGCTGTGCACAATGATTCTCATCAATGACGCTTCGAGCCGTTGCCTCCAGGGTGAGACAACTTGATGCTTATCGACGCGATATTGAATACACTGGCATGCGTTGCTCCCGGCGACCAAGATGCCTCATCGCAAGTATATATCTTGCGTTAAACATGCGTCGAAGAGTTACCAAGTCGTAGTTGATGCATTGCTCTTGTTTAATTCTTCTAACTAAATTGCATTTTGTGAATCACGTCAACTTGGTTTTCAAGATGGGACTTCTGGATCTCCTCGGTGTCGGCCTTAACTTGGCGTCTCAACTCGGGAACTCTTGTCCGGCTCAGGCTGGGGTTTCCGGCGCCTGTTCTTCTGTCCATGCTCGGCCGTCTATGGAAACAACCTCAGAGGTTGATGCTCTTAGTGTGCTTCCTTTCAACGAAGAGCTGAGCATCCTGCATCAATCTCTAGTCACAGCTCGGAGCTTGGTGGAAGACCAAGGCCCAACAGTACCAGTTCCCGAGTCCCAACTACACGACGTATTAAACAAGATCAAGGCAATGGAGGACCAAATCAACCAGTTGCTAGCTTCTAAGTCTGCCGAGACAGAAGTCCCATCTTCTAACCTAGCAGATAACCGTTCAGACAATCTCAACCAGGTCTCAGAGTCTCCAGATCGCAAAACATCAGCACTTCCAGCTCAACAGCCGTCAGAGATCGCGGAAGGTGTATCAAATGATGATTCTCTACAGCAATCCTCTCCACCGAGCGGTTCCTTCAAGCTAAGTACCGAATCCGTTTCCAATTCTCCAACTAATGAGAACATAGGTCCTACCAGTCCCAGCACTGAGTTTTACATCAGCACATCTCCAGGCAGTGAAGCAGACAGCCTACCTGAGCAGAATGAGGAAGTTAACTTCGCCGGCATCTTCAAAGAGAGCTCTGAAGAGTCCAATAACATGGAAGAGTTTGAGACTACGGAAGTTACATCAACAATCCGGATCACCACAACAACAACAATTACCAAAACAGTCACTCAGTCTATTCACCTGTCAAATGATCCGCCATCAGCTTCAAATGCGGCAGTCGTCATTCCTGCAGAAAACAGAGAAGGTCTCTACCCCGCAGAGGCTCACGCTGTTGCTCAGTTGCAGGAAGTGACAAGCACCAAGTCCCCAGTGCCGAGGAGTAGAGCCGCCGGGACTGACACCGAAACTTCAGCCTCTCCACACACGACGTCCCGGCAGCCCATGGTAGAAGGGGATAACTATCTTTCAGTCACAAAGACCCCAGGGGATATCGTTCCACGGCCTCCTGCAGCAAGTCCAATGTCGGCTCTTAGCAAATACACCATCGGCTTGGACAAGTCCGACGGAGTAGGAGCTGTAACCCCCAGTGGATTTCGCACTATTACTTTGCCAGCCAACGGCACAAGTCCAAACGGCAATTAGCATCACGACAAGTTCAATTTTTCTCTGTTTCCATCATTTAGTTTCTCGGGTCAGTACATGGGTATTAGAATTGGTCATTTGTTTGCTTTTCAGGTCCCCAGTTCATGAGCGGGATGTCGAGTGCCGGATGACATGTTGAGCTCAGAGCGCATGGGACACCGGACAGAGTAGTCATTATGTCTTTGTTATATGATACGAGATGGGAGTGTGCGTGCTTAACGAATCATGTTGTTTCTACAGTCATTACCTTGTCTTTATTTACCCACTTTAGAAGTTGTCCTCAACGTCTATTGAATCTGGGATATTCTCTCTATTTCGATATACAGTCCAGATGAGATAAGTGTGGGCCGCATGGACTTCCTGGGAAGTTTCCACCTGTGATATGGGAAAGGGTGTACTAAGAACTCATCCGAGGGTTCCATAGTAATATTTTGCGGCGGCCGCTATGGATCTAGTCGTACTGTTGCATGACGACCTCGCAGTTGGAGGTCCCAGACTGGAATATTGCAGCTCTTGGAATGCGGTCAATCAATAATGCAGGAAACCTGCCTTTATTAGCATCGCCAGCTCCACTGGAGATCGCGCCGGTGTCTTGTCCCGGCTCCAAGATCTGCCCAGATATATATATTTCATGTACGCATCGACGTACGCATTGACCTGAGCTTTCAGCCTGATGTACGAAGCAATTGAATTAGTCAAATCGCCGGCAGGGACGGAGACGCATGCTGACCAACGGCTCCGAGCCGATGCCAACACATACGAGAGACGTACACCCTCTTGCCCTCAGACCCTGGGCGGGCTTCATTCAGATCACGACACCCCTGCACAGCCTCGAATCGTAGAGGGGCGTTGTACAGACCTTCTTAGACGGGACAGCGATGCGTACATGTACTCCACTCCGCAAACCATTTCCTCCCACATGCCCGCGGTTGGCCACCACACAGGGCCGAGTGGCGAAAGATATTGCGCCGGAAATTGAATATTTGCAGCGCCGATCGCCAGTATTTGGTGCCTCTTCGTTGGAGGAACAGAGCCGGAGCGAGGCCCGAGCAGCACGATGAGCTTCGTCTGGTCTTTTTCGCTCTAAACGGCATGTCAGTTACTCGATTCTCAGTATCGAGAGTTCCCCTCTGGGTAGGTGAGTTACCCATTTGGTTCTTCGGTTCTAGGCCTACGGGGAGGTGAGACGAAATATGACATGCAGTTGGCTGGCAAACCGGCCCCCATCCCATGCCATCTTTTTTGCCCTACCTGCTCCCAGCTCCCCTCGGAGCGATGGTCTCGTCGCCTTGATTCGCAAAAAGATGTCCATGCATCAGCCATTCGGTTCCACTTAGTCCACGTGCATCCAAACCAGGTACCAGGCCATTGTGGTGTGTGCTTATCTCACAAGAGCTCGGGGCCACCGCCAACGACAAATACGATGGGTGAGCACTCGTGAGCTGTTGTGGGCGTTCTGCGCAAAATACTTCTGCATACATACTCTTGCCGGAACACCTTTGCTGGAGGCAGCATCACGAGAGCCGGCCATTGCCCCTGCCGCTCAACCCAGGACGGTGTCTGGTCCCGTTTCCCGTGCTGAAGCCTTGTCTTGCTTCTGGTGTCTCTCTCTCGACCGCTCTCACCGAAGGACCCTGCATGTGCTAGCGGTAGCCGCAGCTCAGGCCGCCGCTTGTGAATGATCCCAGGCGCAAAGTCGTGGGGAGGGGATTAGCGAGGGTTAATTGGGAAATAATGTGCTCTTGGCCATCCAAGCTCGATCTTCTTGCTTTCCCGCCTGCCTTCTTCCCGCCGCGCAGACAAAGACACGGACAATGAGAGTGTCGGTTCTCTGGCCCGTGGCCGCTGCTGGGCTGGCCGCCGCCGCCCGAGAGAGAATGGCTGCCTTCGCCGACGACCTCATCCCGCGGTTCTGGATGGACCCGGCGATTCCTCTGCTCGGACGAGACGATTGCAGCTACGACACCCACCATTACTGTGAGTATCTTCTCTTTCACCTCCCGCTCTTCTTGGGGTTGATCCGCCGCATTGTTTCGATTCTCTTGCGGCCCGGGCAGCGGCCTTGCTTTGGTGCGCTGCCGGCTAGGTTTACGCACTTGATTGCCCATCCTTTGTCCTTGCAGCGCAGCCTCATAATGCCCCTCCTCCCTTGCTCAACACATCTGCGCGGGGCACTGTCTCTAACTCACGTCGTGTCCACCAGGCGACGACATTAAACATGGCAATGTCTGCTGTCCCAACAACTCCTACTGCTACGTCAACAAGAACAATGACGCCAAGTGCTGTGCCATCGGCTCCAACTGCACCTTAGACTCGAACTGCAACAGCCTCTCCTACTATTGCACCACCGCCCAGACCGTCTCCGGCACGGTCACGACCCAGACCGGCTGCTGTGAACGCGCATGCCCCTCGACCAGCCTCTTCCTCTGCCCCCAGGCCAATGGCGGCAACTGCTGCCAGTACGGCTCCCAGTGCGACGGGGGCAACTGCAAAGCCGTCGTGACGGCATCCTCCACCGCCCTCCTGACGCCCATCCAGGAGGGCTGCACCACCTCCCAGTACCGCTGCTCCGACGGCCACGGCTGCTGCGACAACAACCAGGTCTGCACCTTGGTCAGCGGCAATGGCTACTGCGCCCCGGGGATCCCCACGCAGACCAATATCGAGTACATCGGCACCGACCCCAGCGCCGACAAGCTCTCCCAGGGCGCCATCGCGGGAATCGCGGTGGGCGCCGTCGTCGCCGCCGCCCTCGTCATCGGCCTCGTCACCTGGTTCTGCATCCGCAAGAAGAAGGAGCGCCGCGCCCTCTCCCGCCGCCAGACCGCCAGCGAGGCCGCCCAGACAGAGGACCAGACACACGTGGGCAGCATGGCCGAGCCAACACCCTCCGCCAGCCGGGGGCCAGGCCTCACCCAGGACTACTTCGGCCCCCATCCCGTCCCAGGCCCCTTCACCGAGGAGGACGCCGTCTCGCCCGGCTCCTCGCCGCACCAGCACCGCGCCGTGCCCTCCGTGCCCCAGCAGCCAGGCGACATCGCCGCCCCCGTCGAGATCGACGGCCGCTCCACCGTCGACGACGGCCGCTCGACAACCACCCACGGCAGCGTGGCCGGCGGCGGCGGCATCAAGCTCGAGTCCATCCAGGGCCGCTTCGAGCTCTACGGGTCGGAACACATGCCCCCGGAGGGCCCTCCGTCCATCGTGCCCACGCCCGAGGAGATGAGGAACAGCTACTTTGAGCCGCCGCCGCCGCCCCCCGAGAAATGAGGGGAAAGATATGAAGACACGGTTGTTGTTGTTTTTATGTTTATAATCTTTGATTGTACTCTTTCTCAAAATTCATTTTTTAAACTTCCGGGATCGAACATACAAAACGCCATAGTCTAGCCGTAAGTAGGCTCCTTAATAAAACGAAACCAAAAGAAAGTAAAAAAAGCAAAGAGCAGAAATGCGAGCCCGAATTTCCCCGCCTGTTTGAAGAAAAGTGCTAAAGGCAAGTGAAAAAGGCAAATCTTGTGAGAGTTCATTAGGCGCAATATATTCCGTTTTGCGCGAGACCAACAAAAAGAAATAACAAAGTGAACCCTGTGAACGCCGAATTTCCCATATGCCATGTACCCTGTGAAAGCCAAAGACAAATAATAATGAAATAGGAGGAGCAAGGAGAGACGAATATCAAAGAGGGGCCGATGTGAGGGCGGCTAAGAAGTGATTTTTTACTCAGGGGCAATGTCCAGCACGCAGTTTTGTGTTGTGTGTTGTTTATTTCAACTGATGACGCCGCCAAAGGGCGCACACTCCCTCAGGTCCCTGACGAGGTCCTCGACGCTGCTGAGGTGGCGGCTCAGGAGCTCCTGCTTCTCCTCGGTGGTGAGCATCCACTCCTGGTCGCCGTCGGGCTGCTTGCGGGAGATGTCCGCGGCCGAGAAGGCGCCGGCGAGCTTACTAGGGCTGCGCTGGAGCATGGCGGGCACGGAGTCGCGCTGGTCGGCCCGCGGGATCGAGGGCATCTCGGGCATGAGGTAGAAGTAGAGGAACTCGACGAGCTTGAGCTTGACCTCGCGGGCGGTGGAGCGCGACTTGAAGAGGGAGGTGACGGTGAGGAGGCCGTCGAGGGACTCGAAGGTGCGGGTGTTGCTCGGGGTGTCGATGAGGGCGACGACGAGGGTGAGGAGGGTCGCTGACTGGATCGCGGGGCAGTTGTACGGCTCGAGGAGGTCAAGAAGAAGCTGTTGAGGGGAAAGCCAATGTCAATACATGCATGTACATTTCAAAGGCTTATCAGGGCAAAAGCCACATGAATAAGACATGTTTCGCGGGATGTTACTCACATTCATATTCTGTTCGCGGGAGAACAGAGACTTGCTGGGGGGGTGCAGAAGCAGCACGCCCTGGATCAGGTCAAGAGCACTCAGGATGAGCAGATCATTCTGCCCGTCTCCCCCCTTGGCCATCAAACGATCCAAAGTGCCAATCAGGCGCATGGCAACGTTCCACTCGAACCCTTCCTGGAGTTTGAAGAACTCGCGGAAGGCAGGGTCTCGCGAGAGCTCTGCAAGATCCTTTCTCGAGGCCGTTGCGCCGTCACCCTCGTCATTCCCTTCCTCGTTACTACCGTCCGACCCAGTACTACGTGAGCGGCCGCGGGCACTGCGCTGAGGCTGGGGGCCAGAGAGGCAGATCTGCGCCAGGAGGCCTTCTACTTGGCGCAGGCCCTTGCGGACCTTGACGCCGTCGTAGGAGGAGAGATTGTCAAATGCAAGAGAGAGAAGAGCTTCCATTATGGTGGATTTTTAAGTGTCTTGCGAGATGCGGGAAGAAATTGGATGCTTGTTGATATCTCGTCGAAATCGGAGATCAGTTGAGAGCGGGACGAGAACGAGCACGCAGCGGGGAAGAAAAGCACAAAAAGTTGGATGCCGTTGAAGGCTGCGCGGGGGGCGCGAAAATGTTAATACAGGTGGACGAAGAGGAAACGCATTGGGTATCTGGTGGTT